CACTGAGGCACCTTGCAGCCCGTTTTAATAACATTTTACTCATATTAATCTGACTTTAACTGAACGGTGATGGACTACAACTTTGATAATCGAGCATCTAAAGTCTGAAATTGTACCTTTTGTGTCCCACTCATAGTAGAATTGCTAAAATTGGAACAGTTTGGACTAGTTTTGTTTGAGAAGACATTGTTGTGAACTGTGAAAGAACAAAACAGGTTTCCGACATTTACATTCAGTGTTAACACCTCGTGAACAACTGATTGATTTGTATTATTAACATATATTTCATACATTATGGCTGTCTAAAAGGCTCATTGAAAAGTGTAGTCTCAGCTAACATGCCCTACCAAATTACTTAAAAACTGTCACATGTATGCCAAGCTGAGCAAAGTGATCCTAAATCAAATGACCACATAAATGGAACTGGATTAAAGTGCTGCTTGGTTGCATTTACCCTTCTTTCTTTTAAGATGATGGATACTAACTAATTTGTCCAAGACGTGGGTAAGTGGGTAAAGTGGGTAAGTATGAATACCAAACCAAAGCTGGTAACTGCATCATCAAGATGTATATGATTCACCAACCAGGGCTCAGTGAATGGAGAGAAAGATTAAAACAATTACATATGACATTAAAGCTCAACTTTAAATAGAGACAAAAGTCACCATCTCCTGCCATATATAACAATCTGATCTCACATAAAGGAAAGACAGAAATAAGGTGATGATAACTGAGCTATATCCATCATTGATCCTTCTCTTATAATTAAGCCGCAGATATCATTGCAGTACTGGAGATAATGCGAGCTCCAGACACTTCCTTCAGACCCAGAAAATTAGAATCAGGGGTTCCAGATTAGATGCCCGTGATTAAAACCTCCTTAGGGAGTGCCAGACGTCTTATTTAAACCTCTGACATTTAGGGAATCCTGCTCCCTTTGCTATTGAAATGTGTGGTGTCATCGTGCTGAGATCTAAAGAGCTCTCTTTACAAGAAGCATAGATTTCAAATGATCAGTAATTTTCCCAGGACTGACAGTTCCAGCAAATCCAACCTAAGAGCAGATCCTTTGATGCAAAAAGAAGTCTCCAAGAACCCCCAAAATTTCATCACAGGATCTTCAGGTAACTCCGCAACTGTTGGTGTCAAAGTGCTGCATCTATAATTAGACAGAGATAGTACTAATTGGACCTGTATGGGAGGTGGGCCAGGATAAGCCTTTGCTGTTCAAAAAGAACATAAGAGGAAATTACAAAGAGCAAATCTTTTGGAATACTGTGGTCTGGGCTGATAAATAAAAGACAGAGTTGTTGGGCAACAGTAACAGTTGCCATGTTTAGTGGTGACCACTTGCAGCTTTGCAGCCAATAGCAACGTCATATAACTGTGAAGATAGTGGGGACATGGAGGTTTCTTCACTTCCCTCATGAACTTTGCAGGAAGAGTGATCTCTTTAGTAAGTCTCAGGAGTATGTTTTAGTAAATCTATGTCGAACATGCATTGGAAGTTATGAAAAATGTCTACAAGAAGTTATTTGTGTTAAATGGAACAATACTGGCTTCTTAGGCCATTCCCATGGGATGCACTTATTATTATTACTTTTTTATGCCTGTAGGTCCTTACACAGGCTTTGGAAAACCATTTTACATTGCAACTCCAATTTTCTACAAGTATTACAGGACAGGTCTAGAGAAATTTGGATATTTTTTAATCCATCTTTCCCCAACCTAAAGGCACTTAATTATCTGGTTATATACTGATGTTCCAAATTCCAGGAGGTGCCTTTTAGATATGACGCCTTATCTGAAGTTAAGTAGCCAGAAGTCACCAGGTCTTACAAATGCTCATTGGCTTGTCCAGAGAGATGGGTAGGCTGTTGCTATGAAGGGATGGTGAACAACAACAGTCAAGCAGACCGTTTGTTATCAGTAGTGAAGCTAACAAGTATTCCATATGTTCTGAGTGTGTTACTACGAAAGGAGGAAAAAAAAAAATCCCTTTTTTTTCAGGGTGCCATAAATATTGTTGCTCAATGAAAAGATAATATGTCCACCGGCTGGATCTTCTTGACTTCTTTTCACATTGAGCTCTAGAGGATAAAAGAGGAACCTCAGCACTGTATCAGACAGAGAAAGCAAGAGATGTGAGAGCTGCTGCTTGTTAAATAAAACAGATCAGTTCAGTCAGCACATCTCTGATGAGTAAACAATCCGGCGTCTCCCACTTTTCTGCTGACGGACTGAGAAACAGCTTTGAAGTGTAACTCTGAGCTGTAAACAGTTTGGCTTCATGAGATCTATTCTCAGGTGACGTCTAAATAAACTCCAGTCAACTTCCTGTTAAAACCTCTCACCTGAAGAGAGGCTTCCACTTTATCTCCAGATGGTAGACTTTACAAAGTGGCTCTTCTTTTTACAACACCTTTGTTCAGAGAATAATTAACACTAATTACTAAAACTGTCTTTGTTTTGTTCATCAATACATGCTACCCGATTGTTAATACTGTGGCTTAACGGGGCAGTCCTGCATTTAGATAAATCCTCTTTTTCTCTTTCTGCTCCAGTCAGATCCAGCAAAAAGGATTTTTTCCATCTAGTACTGAAATACATAGATGAGCCAAAACACTTTGAGCGCTCTCAGATGAATAAATAACAGAGTATGTCAAGGTCTGGGATATATTAGATGTTAAGTGAACAGTAAGTTCGCAGGTGTCAATGAGACCTGAGCCATTTTAACAAGGGCCAAATTGTTATGGTGAGATGGTTGGGTCAAACCATTAATGAAACACCAAAGCTTGTGTGGTGCCACAAGCGATGAGTATCTAATGACAGTGATCTAAGGAGGAACAAATCACCACTGGTGATGTTGTGGGACAATCCACTGTGACACATCTGCTTCACAGTGGCTTTAGCTTGCAAGCTGCAGGACTTGAAGGATGTGCTGCAAACATCTTGGAGCCAGATACCACAGGACATCTTCAGAAGTCTTGTACAAGGTGAAATACTAGTTCAAAGACCACTCTCTGTGTGCTCCTGCCCTAATGCACCTACAGACTTTATTCTATTCCCCTGTGAAAATTGTTGTTTGGTCACTGAGTCACAAACCCAACCGATGATCCTTGACATGAAGGCTGGCTCGCCACAGATGCTGACTTTTTTCCTCTGCTCCAGCTTCAAGTCCAATGCTCAGTCACAAGCCATGTTATGCAGGTCCTACTGTTGGTCATGCAGAGTCAGACAACAAGCTATACTGCTTGCACATGTTGCACACACATGACAATGCACATGCATCAGGGAATATCTCAGAACTCTTTGATTTTACCTCATATATCTAGTCTGTATATCTACAGATTAGCGTAGTCTTGGTAGCATGCAAATGATCAACAGGATATTAGAGCGGACAGGTCAGAACATTTTGGCTGGTCAGTGTAAGTTATATGGCCAAAGACAAGGGGACACCCGCTCTAACTAGTTTGGCTCTCTCAAGCAAATCTGTTACGAACAAATGTGTCACATCAAACATACAGTTCTCTTTGGTCGCTTCAACTTCCGGGACTTGTGGATGTGTTGCTAATGTCTTGAAGCCCCACACCACAGGACACCTCCAGAGTCCACAAGACGACCTTAGTCATGCTTGGTATAGCTGCTACTGTCCTGCTAGAACTGTCTAGAACTGCTAGTCTTTTGCTTCTGTTTTTTTTAAATGTAGAGCAATGAGTATTGATGAGCAGTAAAGCATAATGCCAGCTATCAAAGATCAGGTTATATGATTTCAATCATACTCACCGCTGGCCTCCACGCCCTCACAAAGCTCTGTCTTCACTTCACCGTTGGGCCGCTCAGCCGCCAGGTGCGACAGCTTGCTGGTCATGGTGGCGGCGGTGACAATCGCCTTAAAGCTGCGTTTGCGTTTAGGGACGTTCTGCTCGGGGTGAAAGATGATGATGTAGACCTTCTGCATGTAGAGCATTCCCAGAGAGACAGAAGCGCTGAGGCTGAGGGAGACGGTCAGCGTGGCTGTCTGGATGTACATCTGAGGACCAAACAGAGGGGAAACATGTTAGAGGATGGACAGTGGTAGAAGTTGATAAGAGATGTGTATAACAATGACAACCATAATCTGAGAAATATTTATGGTTTGAAGTTATACTAATTTTCAACTGTGAGATGAGAAAAACCCTAAAACTGCAGTTTGGTGCTTTTAACGATTGCTCACATTCAGCATGCAAAATCTCTTTAACTATAAAACTAATGTCCTAAAAAAAGTAACAATGCAGTCATGGAAGTAGTGAGAAGTGAATAAAAGTTACATTTAAAATATTTTCTGAGGAAGGAATCATATTAATTAGACCTGAAGGATACACTGATTTACACTGAGAAGCCCTGCATGTACAGAAGACCTGTTCTGAAATGACCAATTCTGTTTCTCAAATGTCTTGAAATGTTTGAATTTACATTAGGAGACAAAGTCATTGAGCAATATATTTACTGTTATGTGCTCTTTAGGTAATAATTTGTGCCATCCAATGATTTGCAGTCATAAACTAACACATGAATATTGTGGATGCTTGGAAATAACATTTGAAAGGAAACCATAACGCAAAATCCACACCAGGGGTGCCCAATCCTGGTCCTCAAGAGCCCCTATCCAGCATGTTTTAGATGCTTCCCTCTTCCAACACACCTGATTCAAATGATCAGGATCGTTATCAGGCTTCTGCAGAGCTTGATGATCATTTGAATCAGGTGTGTTGGAAGAGGGAAACATCTAAAACATGCTGGATAGGGGCTCTTGAGGACCAGGATTGGGCACCCCTGGTCTACACACAGCCTTTTTCTGCACCTCACAGCCTTCTTCAGATGAAAAAATTGGTTTAAGTAATAACAGTGACATGCAGATGAAAGTTAGCGAGTGTGTGGTTAAGGCAAGTCGAACTTAGTTTTTTTTATTTGTTTCAAAAAATAATTATTTTCTTTCTTTCTAATTAGCTTTCTTCTAATTAGTTGTTATGCCATCATTTGTTTCCACAAAATATTTCATTTGTGTATGAATAAATGTTTGAGACTATCATTTGAATTAATAGTTTTTCTATGCTTTTTCAACAGTCACTGTTTTGGTTAACTGCAGCTTTTATTTTTGCTCCGTGCTGAGTTACGAGGGTACCTTACATGGTTTGGTTATTGAGGGGACACAAGACAGTCAACGGATACTGTTGATGCCATTTTTCACTTCACCACATGCAGATAAATCTGTTGATCTGATGGTCTGAGGGACTGAACTCAGCAATAATAATTCCATCAGACTTCATTAAACCAACAGATGGTCAACACAGTTCATTTACTGGAATCAATCTGGTGACTCATGTTTGTGGCTGATAACGCTGTCCGCTCAGACAGATAATAGCTTTTAGTCTCCAGCTGATTGGAAAAGTGAAAAAGTGAAACAGGTGTGTTTGGATCCCTTGTGCAGGTACTGCCACTTTGCTGCTGCTGTGAATTGCTGAATGTCATTAAATGTAAACAAAACAACACAGAAGAAGTCGTTGGAAATAATAGGAAAATAAAAACAATGATTCTGTTACAAGGAGAAACTGGGGAGGATGAATTGACACTTCAATTTAATGCAGGTATAGACGCACTCAGTTTACAAAGACAACTTTTTTGTATTTTTTTGTATCACTGGAGTAGAAGAAGTCTACACAAAGTACACAGTAGAAAAGGTATTAATTAGTTTTAAGCTTAATGATCCACTCAGTGCCTCCTCCTCTCACCTTGTTACCTGTACACTGTATAAATTCTATTTTTCAGGAGTGGACGAGCTGCTGGAGCTCCATCATGTGAGCAGCTGGAAGATCATTAACTCCTGATAATGTAGGTGTTTAAACAGGATCAGCAACAGGGCAGAGAAACATCCGGACTCCCACATCTTCTCACTTTGACAGATGACCCTAAAAGCATCATTAGACTCCACGCTGCGTATATGAGCCAGTACGAAACTACTGATTGGGTGTTCTTATCTTTGTCTGCTGTGTCAATACCGATAGAGGGAAGTGCATCACTGATGCATCAGTGGTCTGCACTTATATAGCGCTTTTATCCAAAGCGCTTTACAATGTGTTTCTCATTCACACACACATTCATGCACAAATGGTGACAGAGCTGCCATGCAAGGTGCTGCCTGCCATTGGGTGTGTCGTGTTCAGTGCCTTGCCCGAGGACACTTCGACTGTGGAGGGACGGGGGATCGAACCACCAACTGAGCCACAGCCGCCCTGACTAACCAGAAGGAACCCAGGGCCCACTGCACCAGCATATGGTCTCACAATGGGTCTGAGGATCTCATCCCGGTACCTAATGGCAGTCAGGGTAGCCCTGGATAGTCCATGGAGGACTGTGCAGCCCTCCAAAGAAATGCCTCCCCACACCACTACTAACCCACCGCCAAACCAGTCATGCTGGAGGATGTTGCAGGCAGCAGAACGTTCTCCACGGTGTCTCCAGATTCTGTCACATCTGTCACATGTGCTCAGTGTGAATCTGCTCTCATCCGTGAAGAGCACAGGGTCCAATGGTTAATCTGCCAATCTGGGAGTTCTCTGGCAAATGCCAGTCAGCCTGCACGGTGTTGGGCTGTAAGCACAAGCCCCACTGGTGGACATCAGGCCCTCATACCACCCTCAGGAGTCTGTTTCTGACAGTTTGAGCAGAAACATGCATATTAGTGGCCTGCTGGAGGTCACTCTACAGGGCTTGGCAGAGCTCCTCCTGGTCCTCCTTGCACAAAGGAGGAGGTAGCGGTCCTGCTGCCTCGGTTTTACCCTCCCACGACCCCCTCCATGTCTCCTGGTGTACCAGTCTGTCTCCTGGTATCTGGACACTGTGCTGAGAGACACAGCAAACCTTCTTGCCACAGCTCACATTGATGTTCCATCCTGGATGAGCTGCACCACCTGAGCAACTTGTGTGGATTGTAGACACGCCTCATGCTACCTCTAGGGCTGAGAGCACTGACAAAATATAAAAGTGACCAAAACATCAGCCAGAAAGGATGAGAACAGAGACATGGTCTGTGGTCACCACCTGCAGAACCACTCCTTTATAGGGGTTGTCCTGCTAGCTCCCTCTCATCTCCATCTGTTGTCTGCTCCATTTGCACAACAGCAGGTGAAACTGATTCACAATCAGTGTTGCTTCTTAACTGGACAGGTTGATTTCCCAGAAGTGTGATTTGGAGTTATATTGTGTTGTTTAGGTGTTCCCTTTATTTTTTTGAGCAGTGTGTAAATAATTTTGTTTGAGATGGGACTCTCACTCAAGTCCTCAGGGTGAAAGTCCGCTGACCAAGGCCTCCATCAACCGTCCAGCTTCCAAATGCAGACTGTCGCTAATCTCTGTACAGGAATGATATCCAGTGATAACATCCAAAACTCGTGGTACTGCTCATGCTGCCTTACTTGGTTTGGTATGACCAGGAGCTCATCAAATGCAATGCCACAGTGGAATATATCCAACCAGATATAAGACTTTTAAGTCTCTATTTTATTTTACCCCTCTTTAAACGCATTTTCTAAATTTTAGGTTTTTGAAAACTCCACTTATTTGTGTTGTGTTTGCAGTTATACTGAAACTGGCTCTAATAACTGTTTATAGCACACCATCTGACCCTCTTTTTTTTCTTTTTTACATCTGCATTTTCTGGAGAAAAAAAAAAAAAATCTAAGTCAAAGAAAAACTGCAGCATTCCTTCTGGTGCTTCACAAACTTTAGAGGAGGTGGAAAAAACAAACAAGAAAGCTCGTTTTTTTGTGGGTGTATATAAAAATCCACTGATGAATTGCAGCAGTGAATATTAATTCCACGTTGTGTAACAACAAATATGGTGATTTCTGTGCATTCACAAGTGAATTTCAGGCTACAGAGATGTGAGCTGCTGCAGTAAAAAAAATATGAGCATAACCGAGCTGCAAGTGAGATGCTCCAGTCGCGTAACTGGGGGACATCATGACACCAGGTGGAACTGCAACAGATTCTCTTCAACAGCTGCAACAGAGCCAAAGTGAGACATAGCCTCATCTACTGAACACTGTGGGTGAAATGATGAAAGCAAAAGTGGAAGCATCTGTGCGCGCTCAGTTGTGACAGGAAGCATTAAAGTATTGTTTGTATTCTCTCTTGTCACCACCGTTGATGCTGACAAAACTTGTTTTGGGGTGAAAACCAACTGCTGCAGCAGGAAAAATATCTACTCAGCTCACTTGTCAGAGGGAGCGAGCAAGCCTGTTTTAACCTCCCTCAACCACACACACACATGCACACACCATGCAGCGTTCAACCAGGCAGCACAGAACTCTGTTTCCTCTACCCGCCTTGCAGCATCTGTCACAACACACCTGTGTTCACACTCACAACACAACTGCTACCCACAGCTTGGAGACCACCCACAATGGCATGGCAACCGTCTCCAGAAAGTCGCAGCCTGAGTTAATGGACCTCTGACTGAGTGTCAAACTGGCAGTGGGGATTCCTCGGCAGGGCTCTGCTCAGCCACCGGGACCGAGGAAAGGAGAAGGGAGGAAGGAAACGACAGCGACAGATGGCGAGATCCCTCCCCAAGGGCCCAAAACAACAATGGCGGTGATTCTACCGACACATCAAGAAGCCATTATGAAAATGTATGACAGACACTGAAGCATGAAGTCATTTGTGGTCTTGAGAGAGAGAAAAAAAGCTGTAAAGTGATTTATATGGCCACTCTGATACAAACTGCTATTACAAAAACCAACAACGTGAGCAGTTTGAAGGTCAGAAGAATCTGATAACATGGTGTTGGAAAGATTAAAGGAAGGAAGCACTGAAAAGGCTGACTCACATCCAACCACTGAGTCTCAGATAGTCACTTTTGTTGTAAAGTCAAAGACAAGCTGTGACTCCAAAAACAGGATGATAACATGGTAAATATATATTTTTTCCCAACCCAGCTCAAGATTTGGAATTTATCAGCCCACCACTGCACAGCTGTTTATTTTTGACTTG